TTTCTACACATATTCTTTTACCTTTGCTTAGATTTGTATCTAAGTTCTTATATATCTAGTTCTATCCTTTAGGAGGGGAGAAAGGATGAGAAACTAAGAAAAATATAGTACGGTTTTAATGAGCCCATTCTTCAAAACCATGTAATTTTAGGGTAAATAAAGGAGATAAAGTTAAATTTTTGATGAAGATGTATGAAATTGGTGGAGGAAATTTTTGATAAAATTAGAGACATGTATAGAGGTTAAATGGTGTAAAAATATAGGTGTTGGGCTAGACTAGGCCCAATTAGTAGGCTGAAAATGAAGTGTTGCGTTTTACACTTTTAGATCAAGCATGAGATATGAAGACGTCACTCTTATATTACTTAACCATACTTTTTCCATCTCTAAGTAAACTCGTGATACAAATGAAACTCATTTCATTTTTCCTTCACATGGATCCTACTATGCTCAATCGACCTGCATGATCACTTAGTTATAAGTGTCTTTTGATTATGTGAAAATAGTATTCCTCATGTAAGAATATATGATAATCTTAGATCTAAGGGCTCAATGACATAGTTATAATGAGATATGCTTATAACCTAATTCATGTAGCTATTTCATGATGGATTGATCCAGCACCTTAGTTTGTAACAAATGCATATGGTTTTGATTTATATCTCCATTTATGATAATCAGATAATCATTAATCAAAATTATATTAGTCTTAATTCATTATTATTCCTATAATAATAATAATTGACCTGGGATATTTAGAATAATTCTTTAATTATTCATAAATCTTTATTATAAAGAAAACGTGCAAAATAATATAATAAAACATTTAATAAATTTCTGTCTATTAAATTAAATCAAATATATTGTCTCTAAATTGATTTCCTTGGGCATAATCTCCAACAAAACCATGGTATTATTGAAAGATATCATAGTACCTTTGAAAGTGAGCCTTTAATGATCTCATTACCATCACCACTTACATCCTTTTTTACTTTGTATCATGACACCTCACATTTAGGACACTTATGTAGTCCTTCATACTCCTTTTTGTACAATATATAGTCTACATTGCATGCCCATCGAACACAAGATTTTCTTGGCCTCATAGTTACAATTGGGAAGCACATTACCATTGAGAAACATATATGCTAACAGTTCAAGCAACCAAGTAAAACTTTTATTGGTCCACCAATTTCTTACCTTCAAGTTGACTAATGTTAACACACACATCAAATGTTTATATTTTTTACATCTCAGATACAAAGGCTTCTTTGCATCACTTTGTAGGCTCTTATATGTATGTGCTCCCACAGATAAATCTATTCTTAACATCACGAATCATATTTTCTATTTTATCATCCCAAGCATTCACACCTACTTCTTTCTATTAGGACATGGAACTCATCCTTTTGATTTTACCATGCCATATACATCAACTCTACCTCAAATGTATCCTATCAAAAAACAAACGCTCTCTTGTTTCAGTAATACTCAATCGACTCTCATTTAAATAATTCACACAAGGACAAAAACTCATTCCATTTCTACTATGAACATTCCTTTTAACAAATATTTAAGAAAATATTCCACCCCATTCTTATATTCCTCACTTGTTCTTTTAGCTTTCATCCAACTATGATTTATTTTATAATTACCTAATTAATCAACATACAATATGTCATATTTAAAACTTATGCTGATTTTTGCTTCAATTAGTAAAAATTATAAAAAAAAATTAGCAGAGTTTTTCCTCAGAACCTCCCAAAATTTCAACAATAATGAAGTTAAAATCAAATTCTCAAGCATTATACAAATTTAAGTAATTCCAAGCAATTCCTAAACACATAACAATTTTTTTAAAAAAAAGAAACACATTCTAAATTTAAGAATTATGATAATTAAATTATATATACTTCCATAGTTCAATTATATTTATTTTTCAATTTGTAAATATTATAAAAAAAATTTGACAACTTCTACACTTAAAATAAGACATCCCAAAATCTCAGCTATCACAAAGTAGAAAACATAACAAAATTTACTCACCAACAATTTATAAGGTTCATTAGTTCAATCATATTTATTCTTTCAATTTGTAAAAATTGGGAAAAAAATTTCTGTGAAGTTTTTTCTAAACTTAAGACCTTTCAAAATTTCAACAAAAATGAAGGTCAACTTAATTCTCAAGCGTTATAAAAAGTTAACAATTCAAGTAAAAATTTTTAAATTAGGAATTATGCACTCTCCAAAATCCAATTAATTTTTAAACACAACAATTTTTAAACCCAATTTCCTTTGTTCAAGAATATTTATTTTTAATTTTACAAAAATTATAAAAAAAAATTGGCAGAGCTTCCATCCCAAAATTTCAACAATTACAAAATAGAACAATATCAACATTCCCTTAGCAACAATCCTAACATTGGAAACATAATTTTTAGTGACTGAAAAATTGAAAAAAAATGAAACTTCAAGGAAAATATCGAAATCTAAAATTATCCAACTATTATAATTTTCAGAAATCAACAAAAAATTAAAAAGTATAACATTGAAGCTTACGTGGAATCCACTGAAGAAGAAAATGGAAGTAAAAAAAAAAAAAATCCACTCGAAGCAAACCCCACTATAGAAGAAGAAGTAAGCAATGAAGAAAATGTAAAAGGAGAAAATAAACCCACAAGGAAAAGAAGAAATAAATATGAGAGACTGAGTACCTCAAAAAGGGTACCCAAAATGTCACCTACAATGCTGATGATGAGTGGCAAACAACGGTGGTTAGATGACAGAGGCAAACAAACTAACATGGATGAGGGTTTTCGTGTTGATTACATATTAAACTAATGTGGAAACTCATAAATTTCTGTTTTTTTTTTTAAAATCTTACCATGTTGGTTGCTGATTTCAATGACGTAATAAAAAAGTTTTCACATAAGGTATGGCAAAAGCCAACATCATTAGCAAAATTTTAATTATAAAAATGTCACTATCTTTTTTTTACATCAAATTTTTGCATAACATCCATGAATAAGTGACAAAAATGAATTTTTTTTTTTGTAGTAGTAGTGCATGGAGAAAATCTCATCCCCAAGATTGATACAAGATCCAACTTTTGCAAAAAGAGACCTAGTATGGAAAAAGAAAAAAAACAAGTTCACATTGAAAATTTAATGATATAGTGCATTAGTATAAAAATAATTGCAAACAAGCAAATAAGAAGTTTTAAAGGATCCTCTCTGTAACTTCTAAGTGATGCGGTTGATTACATGAGAAAATACTAATATGCCGTTTGATAGTTAGAAAGAATGAGAACATAATGGATTAAATAAATAAAAATGGATCAAAATATGAAGGAGAGATAAATCAACCATGTTCATGAATATAACTCAGTGAACTAGCTCAATTTTTTTTTTTTTGGAGGATTGGGCATAGCATACTGTATTAAGCTAGGATTTGGATTTTCTCTCCTGCAAAGGAGAGAAAAGGAGAAATCAGTATAGATCTAAATTATTAAATTGAATTTAAAAATTAAGATTTGATAATTTTTAAAAATATAAATTTAATTTGAATGGTTTAGATTTACAATGAAGAAAAAAAGAAGAGGAGAGAAACCCACCCCATTAAGCTATGGGACAAACTAAGTTGAGTAGAACATACCTTTCTAACCTAGTTTACTATTTTTGGCATGCTAATGGATTGACATGCCGAATGCCAACTCATTTTCCTAAATTTGCACTTAACTAAGTTAAGGAACACTTTACCCAAAAAATAAATATTGAGGTGGAAATTAAGATCAATTTATCCCTAAATTCAAAATTTTAAAATATTGAATAAATATTTGTCCCTCAACCGTCATTAAAAAATTTCAACTAATCAAAATGCTTCCATTCACGTATAAGTATTTTCAACGTATCTTTTTGAATTTCAAAAATTAATATGAAAAAAATATTAATATATATTCAAATCAATAATTATTCAATTTCAATTAAAATTATTTTTAATCACACATTTTTATTCGTTATCCAATTAAACAATAAGTATTGTCGTTTCTGTCTTGAGATGCACTTAAATAATTCACATTGTCAAATGCTTTATAATAATTTGCTCATTCTGTATATAGAATGATCTTAGTGTGATATAATTAAATCATATTTTAATTTATTGGCATGTTATAATATTCTCTACTTGGTTTAATTTTTAATAATGTATGTCTTTCCTCATTTTCCTTCTAAAGTTTTCCATATTAGACTGTTTAAACAATAATATGTAAAGACGCTAAATCAACAAGTGAATTAATAAAAGAAAAAAAAAAGTCAAAAACAAAAAAAGCATATGCAGAAGAATTAATAGTTCTTTTATAGGTGATTAAAGATAATACTTGTAACCAATTAAAATTAAGTTTAGCTGAAAAGGTTAATTTTTTATAATGTAATGAATTAAGATTCAAATTTTTATTAGAAGAAATGCTACATTTAATAGCCAATTATGCCTTAAAAATTGCTTAAATAGAAAGATAACTCCCGCACTATTTATTTATAGCGAGAACAAATAAAGCTATTGAAAATAATGGAAATCACCCAAAATTACTACAATTCAATGGAGTACATCAAACAGTAGTGGACAGAATATGCGATCTAGCTTCTCGAATTTATTATTATTATTATTGTCGTCATGGTCATCGTTGTCGTCGTTTATACTTTGAGATGCACTAAAATAAATGATCCTGTCAAATGCATTATAATATTTGCATGTCCAGTGTTCAGAAACACTAAGCATGCTTTAATTTATTGAGGTATTATAATATTCTCATGGCAGCTTTATGCCTCAGATCATCCTTCCTCTTTCCTTTTAAAATTTACCGCGTTAGATACTTCCAACAATTATGAAAAGATGCAAAAGCAATAGTCAAAATCTTACTCACTAATCAAATCAATAAAAAGAGAACAAACAACAACACAAGAGACCGAAAATATTAAAAAAGAAGAAGATAGAAAGTCCAGTACTACTTGGTGACAACAAGAACTTATTAATTGCACAGATTACACACACACACACACACACATCGTCAGGGTTTAAACTCCAACCCTCTACCATACTCCACCTCATCCTTATCAGTTGGTCTCAGATGGCTTAAATTTACTATATAGTCTTAAATTGCAGATGAGCCATACTTTACAGGAATTAGCTCCAAATCATATTTTTTCTTTACAGACAAGCCAAAGGATTCATTCATGTCTAGATCTTCAGGATTTTCCCCATTAGGCATCTTCCAATCAAAATGGAATAGCAAATTTGCAAGTGAAAGTTCAACATTAGCAATACCAAATGTTATGCCAGGACACATCCTCCTTCCAGCACCAAATGGAATGAGCTGAAAATCTGCTCCTCTGTAATCCACTGAGCTATCAATGAATCTTTCTGGGTAAAATTTCTCAGCTTCAAGCCAATACTCAGGATCCCTCCCTATTGCCCATACATTAACCATCACCTTGCTTTTAGGTGCAATCTCATACCCATTAATCTCACAGCTCTCACTGCATTCCCTTGGGAGTAACAATGGAACCGGAGGATGCATACGCAATGTTTCTTTGATGATTGACTTCAAGTACTTCAGTTCATCAACACTTGCTTCATCTACATAACCTTTTCCTTCATAGACTTCTCTCACCTCAGCTTGTGCTTTCTCCATTACCCTTGGGTTTTTTACCAACTCTGCCATTGTCCACTCTATGGTATTTGATGAAGTTTCACTTCCAGCATTGAATATGTCCTGTAAGATATACTATCAGTAAAAGAATTTCAACATTTGCTTATAGCAGTAGCTTCTACTCACAGATGATTCTAACTTGAAGTGACAAAAAATGGTTCAAATTCAAGATCTGAACTTTCGAGAGATGTGACTTTTGCTTCTGTCACTCCAATCATTTTTTGCAAGTTTAATCTGATGTGCTGCTTCTTCCAAGTATATTTTTGATTTAGGAAATAAATACAGTGAAGTAATTAGAATTGTTGTAGACTATTTTGTCAACAACATAGGTCTAATGATTCTAATTTATAATAGTATGCATGAAACTGAAAATGAAAGTACGTTTTATAGTTTCCAAAGCCAAACAGATTTCCATTTGAACTTTTTGCCTTAACTTATGCATTGGCGATCACAAAGAACTGCACTTCTATAAATCACTAAATGGTTAACTACGAGTTCATATCTAACATTTCTGCCAACATTAAACAGTAGTTAAACAGAGAGAAAAAAAGTACTTCTACTTCTACAAAACCTAAGAAGCATGGATACAATCAACGACTTAGCAAATTGTAATTATTTGAAGTATCACATCGTATAAAATGCTAGTATTAAGAATGAATATGGTTCCTATCCATATCTCGTTTCTCAAAAACCTTTCTAGTCAACTAATATTTGATAGTTAATTTCCCCCCTATTTTGGTTTCAAATATGAAAAGATAGTCATAGTAGCAAGATTCTAACCAAAATGGTTGCTTTGATCATTTCATCAGACAGAGGATGTTCAAGGTTGTCCTGCTTCTGAAGCTTCAGCAGAACATCAACGATATCTTCTGCTTTTTCATGGATTGCTTCTGTTTGTGTATCTCTGTCCTTGTGATCTCTTACAATGCTCCCAAGTATCCTGTCCATTTCTTGATGAACCTTCTCAGCCTTAGACCTTAAACCTGTCAATACTTGAAGAACTCCAATGGATGGATACAAATCAACCAGAGAGAACCCTCCTACTAACTTCAGAACTTCCTTCATAAGTTCTATATAAGCTTCCTGATCTTTACATTCCCTTCCAAAAGCTATCCTAGCGGTCATGCCATAGGCCATTGAATTGACCTTCTTCGTAAGACTGATTACTGACCCTTCACTCAGAGCTATCTCCTTGACAAGTTTTGAAACCTCTTCTTCCCGAATGGGTCGAAAAGATTCCACACGCTTCGGCGTCAGAAGTTCAAAGGTGGAAATCTTCCTCATCTGCCTCCAGTAACTCCCATACGGAGAGGAGCTCATGCTCTTGGAGCCATACGTGATGATATCCATAGCAAGAACATAAGGCCGATTTGCAAAGATGATATCATGGGTTTTCATCACTTCTTTGGCCATTTCAGGAGAGGATACCTAGTGAAGAATCAAGAGAGAAAGTACAAAGTAACTCAGTAATTTGATTGCAAAACTGTATAAGCTTTACAAAACAAAAGCGCCCAAACAAATAAATGATGATTGTAAGACTCTAAGTTCCATTTTAAAAACAATAATTAAGAAATTAAGTGAGTCAAAGTATCAAGCAAATCTGGATGAATACCACTATGCTTGAGAGTCCCCCAAGCTTTAGATGCATTAGAGGCCCATATTTCTTTGCCCATTTCGCCAGGTTTTGATGAGGCATGGCTCCAATCTGGTGCATATTCCCAAGGATAGGTATCTTAGGTGGCCCGGGAGGCAACTTTGAGTTTGGATTTTTGGTCTTAAATCTCCAAAATATGCAAACTACCAAGAGGAAGAAGGAAACGATTGCAGCAGGTGAAGGAATTTGGAGCTCCGACTCCATTGTTGGCTTGGAAAAAAAGCTTTGACTACTCCCCCGGGGGGGTGGGGGGGTAGAAGAGCGTCCACCACTAAGCTGAAGATAAACATTTCGCGGAGAATTGAACCCCAATAAATAAACCGAAAAATGTGTAACAGTGCAAGCGATACTGTGATAGTGACATGTAAGGTGAGCAAAGGTGGGGTTTGATTCGCTTTTGATCCAAATATGAACAACACAAAATGAATCGGCAATAAGAATGACACTTCATCAATTCTTTATTAAAATCTCGGTTTGGTTCATACATAAAATAAGTTTTAATATTTTTTTAACTCTTTTTTTTATTTTTTAAGATCAAGTCACATTTTTAATTTTATTATTTATAAATAAAAATAAATATTATATCAAAAATAAAAATATTTAATTTTAGTTATGAATAGACATGAGAGTATATATATTGTAAGTAATGCTAACACGAATTAAATTTTATTGTAAATTATCTTAATTTTGCAATGAAAAGAAACTTATTTTAAATCAATAAAAAAAACGTGTTTTAATAGTAAGTCGTAAAATATTTGACTCTTTTCAATTAGTAATAACAATACACTTTTCCTTAATTTAAACCATCTTTTACTTTAAAAATAATTAATAAAATTGAGAAAAATAATGTTAGGGATTTTATTGAAGTATTTTGGGTTTGGGATAGACTTCAGTTGAGGTTGAAATTTAAAAATAATAAATACTAATTAATTGTCTAATATTAATTATAAAAAATACACTTAAAAATATAAAAAGATATGATTCAAGTTTGATTAAAATTTAAAAAAAAATTAAAACTTGAATTAAATCATTTGATTTTTTAATTTATAAAATCAAATTAAATTTTATTGATGATTAATTTTATTTAACTTTAATTGGATTGATTTGGATTGATCTATTTTATTTGATTTCGCTCACCTTTTGAGACACATTATGGAGAATTGGATCGTCAGGGCGGTACAGGAAGAATGGGTTCTAATTGATAAAAAAATATTATACAGAAAGTTTTATTTTTAAAAATTAAAAATTAAAATAAATAAGTTTAGTAAAATAATTTTTATAATATAAAATCATAATACAATAATTATTTATAATCACGCAACATTATAAAAAAATAAAATAATATTGTATATTTAATATACTGGTTTCAATATAAATAAATATAGAAATTTTATATTTTTTGCACGCTGTTTATATTTCATAAAATATTGATATTGATTGATTGACGATTATATGTCTCTATTAATAATATTCTCTCGATTTAATATTATAAAATTTTTTAAAATATAATGTTAAAAGATATAAAACATTTTAGATGTGTAATTAAAAAATTTTTTTAAAAAATTATTCATATTTAAGGTATAATTAAAAAGGTTTTTTAAATTGAGACACAATATTAAATAAGCATAAATATAAAAATAATATATAATTTTAAAAGTTATTATTTAACTTATTGAAAGAATATATTAGTTAAAAATATATAATTCTTAACATAATGAATATATGATATAATAATGAAACTTTTGTAGACATAGGTCATATTATAAGATCAAATTAAATAAACAGCTTAATATTTATTATATTCTATATTATAACTAGTTTATTATATTTATAAATGATATACCGTTATATATCAATAATAAACTTTTTATAAATTTTTAAATTTTAAATAATAAATATTTTATATATTAATGATGAACTTCTTATCTATTAATGTGAACTAGCAACATACTCAAATTTTCAAAAACTTGATGGGCTAATTTATCTAACAAAGAAAATGATAAATCAATTTTCATAAAATAAAGAGAGAGATAAAAGTTAAAAAAAATGAAGTGAAGGGGGAGGAAAACAGAGGTGAAGTATGTGCTGAGGTATTAAAAAAAAAAAAAGAGAGAGAGATAAATGGTGTGAATGCTTACTTTTGGCTAATAAAAATGGGTAAGACAATGATTGCCAAGCTTTTGTGTATTTAAACACTTACTAACTTTATGCTAGTCTTATCTGTGAGAAAAGAAAAAAAGAGAGAGAGAGAGGAATGGTGGGTTTTTAAAGTGTGGGACCCAGGCAAACATTAAAACCCGCCACATCTCTTTCTTCTACTTTTCACAGAAGAGAGTTGCACAGAGAGCCGCCTTGGTCACGGGTTTAGAGCAAATTTTTATGGTTAAGTTTTATTATAAGATATTTCTAGTATAATTTAAAGATTTTTATGATTAGATATATTTTTTAAATATTTTTCTAAACAGCTTTTTCCATTTTATTTTTGAAGTTGTGACCGTGGAAAATGAAGATTTTTATATATTTGAATTTAGGTGTAGTTTTAACTGGTTAATCTGAGTTTAAATATGTTAATAGAGTTTGATTAAGTGTTTAATTGATTTAGATTTGTTAAAATGTTTGATTTGGAGAATTTGTGATAAAGTGAGGGTTTGTAATTGGTTAATGATATCCTAACCATTTAAACCCGAATTTAATGCTTGGTTTATGTTTTTTTTTTTTTCCAAGTTCAAGGAAGGGAGATCCAAAAAGGATCAGTTATTACATAAACAAGTTTGCCCAATGCCTAAAGCGTAGTCTTTCAAAAGAAGAGTCAAACCTTTAGGTGGTTGTTGTGGATGGTATTACCCAACATGCAAGTTAAGTGTATAAGTAGTTAAGAAATTAGCACATTTGTTCCCTCACGATAAATGTGAGCTATTTCTACTTGTTAGTCTTGGTGCAATAAATCAAGTATTTGGCAAATCATCCTGTCATGTGTATTTACCTATGAACTTTCCTAGGGTAAGAGTTGTACAATGAGGATGCAATTCACATCAAGTTTGATATTTGAGAAAATATTAATTAAGGAGCACGGAAGGAAATTTATATCAGTTAAAAATCATTTGTTATTAAAACTTGAATGAATATTTATCAATTCAGGTTAATCTTTTATCAACAAGTATCTATTTGAGTTTTAACAACAACTAATTTTAAATTAACAACAGTCCATTCAGGCTTAGTTTTCATTCAAGTTTTAACAATAACTGATCCTTAACTTATATAAACTTCTTGTAGTTGCTATTTTCCCTTGATCTTTTTATAACCATTATCCCATGCCATATTAAGACCCTCAAAGATAGCCTATAATTCAAGTTGTAAAGAAGTGCATGTTCCAATGTTCCTGCAACAGCCTTGCAACCAAGCCCCTTCTACATTTCGTAAGAGGCAACTTACATCAGCTTCATCGTTAACACACTTAATTGCTCCATCACAATTCAAAGTAATCCATTATGGTATAGGCTTTTTGCAGGTGATTGTTTTAGCATGTTTGGAGGTGTCCTGGCCATGAGCTCTATAAAGAGAAATACTTTCATTAGTATTAAAATCAACAAGCATTCTTACCTTAGTCACTAACCTGTCTCCATGAGTAGAAATGTGCTAGAAAATAAATTTATTGTGTGCTTCCCACAATTTCCAATGTAAAAGGCCAAAGGTAGAAGCTCAAGTACTATTCACCTCACTGTTACAAGTTAATCCATGAAGATTATGAAGCATCTAGCTATCAAAAGGCTCATTCAAAAAGTGATTGAAATGATTTTGAGGGATAAGCCGTCTCCTTACATGACGAGCTAACTTGTAGTGTTAGAGAATGTGATCAATCATTTCACCATGTTCACCACAACACATGCATAAATCACTAGTGTCCATATGTCTTAATTAGACCTTTAATCAAAGTATAATCATGTAACGGAGCATGGAATATCTCAGAAGAGTGAAAAGAGTCGAAAACAGTTAAAAAATCTCAAAATGCTAAAAACAGGGCAGTGCCTCATGGCTCGTGCACTATACACCGCAGCTAGTCACTCTCTATGCTACTCACCGTAGAATGTTGCAAGCTTATGGCAGCAGAATCTAGGCAACTTCTTATATGCCCCATTTTTTCATCCAACATTCGAATGAGATGATCTTAGTATCTATAGAAAGCTCTTTTCATAAACTAGCATGGGTTTTACTTTTAAATCAAGTCACACTAGGAAGTTGAATACCCAAATACATTTTCACAACTTTTCTCAACTTTCACAACAAAATGGTATCCAAAACCCTATACAAGTGCTAAAAGTTATTTCTAACACCCAGACCATATTCATGGGACTTAGGACTACTTGTACAACACACCACATGCACAATTACACCATTATATCAAAATTTCACTCCTTAACCCCTTTAATATAAAAAAATAGAAGGGGAAGGTTTTAGCATTGCATTTCAAAATAATATTCACCATTGTTATTAAATGAACATTCATACACTTGTATTAGTATTTTGGCCCTATCAACATTTACAATTTATCATAAACAACGACTTAGGGCCTAAAATACATTTCAAACAAAAAACAACTATATAGTGCAAGTGTAAATAAAATGCATTCTAATTGGAAATAATCAATGTGTTACACAAAATAAATAAATCAAATAAGCATACAATAGGAATACTCATATTCCTAAGCCTTCAGAGCTTTTTTCCTAACTATACTAAAGCTAGAACCTATAAAATGGTAAAGAAGAGGAGTGAATTTAGCCACTTAGTAATTAAGGTAAGCCTACCCTCTGTTGTTGTATATCAATTAAATAAACACATGAGTTTGAAGTTGATTTTCTCAAAACACACACTAACACATGAATCACAAATTATCATTTTTTAATTAACTCATTTCATTTTAATCACAAGGTACCTTGCCACAAAACACATAGACATATGACAATAACCCAATATATTAACACAATTTGCCACAAACTTAAACAACTATGTGACATGTCATTTAATCACATATGTATGATCAAACCATTCTTATACCCTTCTTATTTCCTTCGACTAAAATCGTGAGCTATAATACTAAATAAGGCTCTGTTCATGTAACTAGACTACCCAAGCACATCAATTGTGAAGTATGACCCAGCCAAAAATCACAAGACTTACTCTTAGACCATAGATTCTCCTACTCTCGAATATCTAAGGTGTGGTATACCTTAAGCTAATGTCCTCGATAAACTAGTGAAAATAGTTAGATTCTAGTCCCTTAACAAACTATAG